GTAATCTCCTAACTAGAAACACCACGTAAACCATGATATGTCCTCCACATGTACTGTGCACAACTGTAAACTGGGGTAAATGTGGATCGAGAGTGATAGTCGTAATGGACAAGAGAAGGCTTCGCCAATATGCAGCAATGAAACAGTCACACACGCTCGTAAGCTGCCTGGAAACACGGTACTCCAAACTTCCCGCCATAAAATATCGAAAACCATCAGCCTCCAAAATGGAAAAATGACTCCCTCCCCCTACCACCCCCATCCTTGGTTGTTTTACATTTTTCTGCTGGCGTGCCATTGTGGGAGGTTCACCACCCTACTCACATAACCGTTCACCACCAGGGAAGCTCGTCTCCTCATGCTGTTCTTCAGCAATCAAACCCTACTAAATCCCTTCACTAAGCAATGCGGCGGCGGTACACATCCCGGACTTCCAGCAAGGGACTTTCCTCCAGGTTCGCATCCACCGTAAGCACAACTATCATTGTTGCTTCCCTTTCCTCATTCCTAGTACACGGTTGCGCCAACCCAATTGCTCTTTCATGAGAAAATGCTTAGATTAAATCACTGAATCGCGGGTTCTTGTCACTTCACTCCAACCAGCATTCCATTGAGGGCCCTCGGATTCCTCAAATGTCTCATTTCTCCAGTGTGCTCTCTCCGCCCTCTAATAATTTTCTTTTGGCCTCTGCCTGACGGTGGTTAGACAAGGATCTGCCTAACGGTGGTAAGAGAAGGTGTGATGTGATGCTATCATTTGCATTCACGCCTGTCTGCCTCCCGTCATATGTTCGTGCGTTGCATGCGTGGTGTGAGCGTGTGCAAGAATTTGTGTTTGGTATGGCTTGGATTTCCTGAGTGTGTGTGAATGCTATTTGGCTTGAGCAGATATCTGAAGTGACTCCTCTGCTCAAGAGCTTTCCAACGAACCAAGAATCGTTGGGATCGGAGCAAGAACGACGAAGTTATAATCATTCGATGTTTTGATTGGGATGCGACGACTTTGGGAAGTTGTGAAGTGACTCAATATGGGGTACAGACTTTTGGGGGTAGGGAAATTCGTCCCCATCATTGTAGATGCTGCCAAGTGGTTGGGAGACACTAAATTGTGTGAAAATGAGAACGAGAATGGATGCAGTATGAATGAACTGAGTACAAGTACTAACCCTAATTGGGTTGTACCCCTTATCGGCTACCCCACTATAGCCTACAGAATATGCAAAAGCTATATGTTCTGACACACCCCCATAGGCAAAGTGGGGGAGAACCAGGGGTTACAAGACCAGTCAAGCAAAGCAAAGCAAAGCAAGCTCAGGGTGGATCACAAAGTCACCACACAGTCCGAGCACAAGGTCAAGGCCACAAGGCCAGTTCACATGCAGCAGCAGATATGTATATATATAAGGCTAAACAAGCAAGAGCAGGTATATATATATATATATATATATATATATGCAAGAGTACAAGAAAGGTCAAGAGGTGAGCAAGTGAGGCAAGACTGGGACAAGTCCCAGCTGAGTGCAGAATCGCTGATGATCACAAGGCGGAAGTGCCTTGGTGAAAACATCAGCAGTGTTGGCCTCAGAGGCCACGTACGCAAGTCGCAACTGACCACGCTGCTGCAGCTCACGAGCAAGAAAGTAGCGGAGAGCAATGTGCTTCGTTCTGTGCTCCAGACGCTGCTCTCGACACAAGGCCAGCATGGCCTTGTTGTCTACGTACAGCACTGGAGGAGAACGAGGCGGCTCTCCAAGGTCAGTCAGCAGGTAGGTGAGCCAGCGAAGCTCCTGAGCAGCCATGGCCCCGGCGTAGATCTCAGCCTCACAACTGGAGCCGAGAACAGAAGACGAGCGAGTAGCCCGCCACGAAACAGAGCCGGAACAAAGACTCAAGGTGTAACCCTGGGACTACCGCTGAGTAGCCTGGTCGTCAGCCCAAGAAGCGTCCGCGTGCCCAGTGAGGACCACTAGACTCCGCCCTCCAAGCACTAGCCCCATGCCCAACGTACTGCACAAGTAGCGCAACACCCTCTTCGCTGCAGCCATGTGCTCTGGTCGGTGTCTCCCAGGAGCAACATAGCGTGCAAGAATGCTAAGAGGGTATGCAAGGTCAGGTCGTGTGCAGGTCATCAGGTACATGAGGCAGCCAACAAGCTCTGGGTACGGGCCACTCGACTCTACGGACTCATCCGAAGGCAGAGCTGAGAGCGAGTGGCGAGTAGACAGAGGAGTGGCCTGAGGCGAGGAGTACGTGAAGCCGAAGCGCTGAAGGACCTGCTGCACCATGTGTGACTGAGTCAAAGTAATGGTGCGGCGTGCTCTGTCCCGAGTGATCTGCAAGCCAAGGTAGCTGCGCAGTTCACCCAGGTCTGTGCACGTGTGTCTCTTCTGCAGCTCGGACTTCACGTAGGCGAGTCCAGCAGTGTCCGCTGTGGCAAAGACCAAGTCGTCGACACACACGAGGATGTAGAACAACGGCAGAGAAGTGTCGGTGCGCAGAAACAACGACGGGTCAGCAATAGAGGGAGCAAACTCAAGAGCCGCAAGCGTAGTCCTCAGTGTGTCGTGCCACTCACGCGGTGCCTAGCGGAGACCGTAGACTGGCCGTCAGAGGCTCCACTGGGTGCCAGGAGGGAAAGTCACAGTGAAGCCAGGTGGACGGCGCAGCCAGATCTCCTCGTGCAGGCTACCCTGCAAGAAAGCAGTGCTGAAGTCAAGAGAGTGGAGCTCGTAGTCGCGCTGAGCGGCTATGTGCAGCAGCACCCGAAGAGTGGTCATCGTCGGGGTGGGAGAGAAGATCTGAAAGTAGTCAACTCCCTGCTGCTGACTGAAGCCACGAGCGACGTACCACGCCTTGAAGACAGGTGGGGAGCCCGGCGGCAGCTTCACCCTGAAGATCCACATGCCACTGACGATGTTCGCCCCAGGAGGGGGAGCCGCGTCAACGTAGGTGCCTGTGGACTTCCAGGAAGCCATCTCTGCATCCATAGCTGCCTGCCACTGAGAGGAGTAGGGACCCTCTTCGGCCTCCGCGTAAGAGCGCGGAGTCGGGATGTCTAGTGCATCCGGGTCTCCCTTAGGGGCAAGTAGTACGGACGCGAGATGAGGTGAAGCAGCAGCCAGACACTGGAACTCCTCCTGCCTGTCCTCAAGGACGTCCGTGCCAAGAGCACACTCACCCCCGATGGACGGAGGACAGACAGACGCATACTCAGCAACAAGAGTGGCAGCGTAGTCTAGACGACAGCGAGCAGCAAAGTCGTCGAGCTCAGCAACAAGCGCAGACGCAGTAGTGGACTCAAAAGAGGGGTCAGTGACGACAGTAGCAAGGAGACGCGTGACAGTAGGACTGGCAGCACGAAGGGAGTCCGACTCCGGGTCGGCAAGCGCAGGAAGAGAGGACTCAGGAGGAGAAGGCAAAGGGGCACGCAGAGGAGCAGTGGACGGAGGCAGAGATATCCGGTGCGTTCCAGGGACAGGAGGGGGACGCTGAGGCGAACCACGACCACTAGCGCGAGCAGTACGAACAGGCGACGCGGGACGAGACGCAGGCTCACGACGCTCAGTAAGACCTCCAGTAGGACCAGTATAAGGAGAGGGAGCAGGCAGTGGGGAGGCGGGCTCTAACTGTGACTGTGACTGGACAGGCGGTGGACAGTCTACAGGAGGAGAAGGACCAAGAACCTGCTTCAGGAGTGGAACGAAGTACGGTCGAGGCCGCGTGGCAACTCCAGACACAGCAGGGACAGCACCAGCACCCTCAGCGGCAGCACCAGCGCCAACAGCACCTCCAGCTGCAGGACCTCCAGCAGCACCAGTAGCACCCGCAGCAGGACCACCGCCAGGAAAGACAGCAGCAGTCTCAGCACCAACACCCTCAGCAGCTCCAGCTCCAGGCGGACCCGAAGGCCCAGCAGCTCCGGGACCAGCGGCACAAGTACCCTCAGCAGCCGAAGAAGCACTGGGAGCAGCAGTGTGCCTCCAGCAGTATGCCTCCAACGGCGAGCAAACCACTCGCGCAGCTCCTGTGGAGAGAGGGGCTCCCGCCGAGACGAAGCACCCGGAGAACCTCCAGGTCCCGCACCGCCAGACGCCACAAGGGGAGGTCCTGTGGCCGCAAGCTCCGCACCTCCAGGCTCAGAAGCTCCAGACGCAGCACCCCCTGGCTCAGGAGCTCCTGACGTAGCACCCCCAGGCTCAGCACCCCCAGTCGCAGCACCCCCAGGCTCAGCACCCCCAGACTCAGCACCCCCAGGCTCAGCACCCCCAGGCTCAGTACCCCCAGGCTCAGCACCCCCAGGCTCAGCACCCACGCGCGCAGCACCCCCAGAGTCAGCACCCCCAGGCTTAGCACCCACAGAAGTACCAAAGTCACCTGTGACCTCGACAGGCTCGATCGCGTCTACCTGGGACACACATGAAGGGGCAGGACCCTGAGGGGGAAGGGGGTCTACCGGGGGGGGACCTGGCATAAGGAAGTGCGGTGGCGGGGGGAGGGAAGGAGTGCGGTAGGGGAAGAGGCGGTAGAAGGGGACTGACTCGTCGAACGTGACGTCCTGGGAGGACAGAACACGACGAGACGAGGGGTGGTAGAACTGCCACCCTGGGGCGTTGGGGGGGAAGCCTAGGAAGACACAGGGAGCAGCACGAGGGGACAGCTTGTCCGCAGACAAGTCGCGGACAAACGCCCGAGATCCCCAGACACGGAACGCAGACGCATCATCGACCTTCCCCGTCCACAGCAGAGCTGGGGAGGTCTCTGGCCGGGAGACCCTGGGGTGAAGGTTGATCTGATGCACCGCGTACCGAACCGCAAACGGCCACAGAAAATGGGGGGCAGCCGCATGCATCATGGACGTACGAGCGACGTCCATGGCCATGCCAATGTGGCGCTCAGCAATCCCATTTTGGTGTGGAGAGTCTGGAAGCGTAAAGGTCTGGCGGATGCCTCGCGCACGGCAGTAGGCTCGTAGAAGGCCAGAGGAGAACTCTCCGCCTCGGTCAGAGACCGGGGAAGACCAGAGACAATGACACGGGAAGCCATGCCTCGAAGACGAGGCAGGGAGGGGTGACCCAGACGGTGGTGCCACAGGAGAGTCTCGTGAGAGAGGAGGCGACACGAGCAGGGAGCAGACTCAGGACCAGACCTGGACGCTGCAGCAAACACCTGACCCGACGCAGCTACCTGGCCACACGCAGGGACTGGAGGAGACTCAGTGGTCAGGGTGTAGAGACTGGACCCTGGCCGACGCAAAAACGTGGCTAGGTGTCGGCCTGTGCGGGCGTCCGAGCAGTGGGTCACCCGCTGACTCGCAGGAGTAAACTGGTGAACCCCCGCATCTTGCAGGTCAGCACCACTCACCAAGTTCGTCGAGAACGAGGGAGGTACAGACTAGACAGGGTGCGAGAGGGGGCAGCCGGACACGGGAGGACAGTGGAGAAGTGAGAGAGGACCAGACCCCCAGAGGGGTCAGCCAGGGAGACTGTAACCAGCCGACCAAGCGGCGTGAGTGTGGTGCGGTCTCGAAAGAAGGAGCGAGAAGCCCCTGAGTCAAGCGTGAAGGTGAGGGAGGCCGAAGCCGACGCAGTACCGGAGAGCGCAGCCTCACCAGTACCTGAGAGCGCAGACACACTGGCACCTAGAGCAGCAGCCTCACAAGCACCTAGCGCAGCAGTACCAATGCCCGGGTCGGGCGGGAAACACCGGTAACAGTCACCCTCCTCACTAATAGTCACAGCATACATGGCAGCAAGGATAGCATCAAAGTCAAGATCAAAGATAGCTACACCAGCCCTAGACAGCTCTCCCTAGCGAGGAATCTCACTAGCCTCGGGGAACTGCTGACGCCAAGCGTCCGTCAGGCGGCCAAAGCAGCGCTGGGTCGGGTGGGCAGCCCCACACTGCTCACCCGCGCGGTCGCCGGAACGAAGGACGTAGGTGCACGGACCAAAACCCCCACCACGCTGACGCTGCGTGTACCACTCACGGAGCTGCTGGGGCGGGGGGGTGTCCCGCGAACGCTGCTGCTGCTGCTGCTGCTGGCGCTGACCACCACCAGAGCCGCTCCGCTGCGGGGCACCACCCCGACCAGCTCCACCCCCTCCGCCACCGCCGCCTCCACCTCCGCCACCACCGCCGCCTCCGCTCCCACCGCTGCCGCCGCCACCGCCTCCTCCTCCGCTGCTGCCACCACCACCACCGCCCCCACCACCACTCCCACCGCCACCCCCACTCCCTCCGCCGCCTCCACCGCCACCTCCACCGCCCCCGCCAGCTCCACCCGCGCCCTTGCCCCCCTTGCCCTTGCCAGGGCGGCGTCTCCCGCTAGGGGCAGACGCCGCGCCGACCGACTCAAGACCAAGCAGGTCGGCAGCAGCAGCAGAGGCAACAGAGGGCAACAGGGGGGAAGGAGAACACCCCTCAAAGATGGGGGTGCGAGGGTCACCACGAGAGGCTCCTACAGCGACGATGCTCTTCTCAGCCGCCAGGAGTGCCTTCTCGAGGAGGTCGACAGTGAGAGTGGTGGGACAGACTGAGAGGAAGTGGTCCCTGACTACGCGAAGGGAGTCCTGGAGGCGTGTGACTATGTAATAGAGAGTGATGTACATGGGGGGGGGGGGGGTTCTTGGCGCAGAACTCAGCAGGAAGGGCAGCACGGTAGCGAGTGTCACTAGTGCGGAGGTGCGTAATGAGGTCAGCGACAGTGGGAAAGGCAGCAAGGTCAGGAAAGAGGTTCGGTAGGATGAGGCGGCTCAGTGCAGCGGTGGCAGGGGATGAGTAGCGCGCAACTACAGCGTCGTACAAGGTCTGAGCACTCTTGTACTGACAAAAGTGCGCGCGCTCAGTGGTAGGCAGGTGGCGACACACAGCAAGACGTGCAGCAGCATCGCGGGTGGCCCACTGAGAGCGAACAGTGGGGTCAGCATCAGCAGCAGGGGCAGGAGAGGCACCAGAGGTGAGGTCAAAGAGAGAAAGACCGTCCGCCCTATCGCACTGTAAGAACTGCTGCAGGTTGTCGACCCAGACCTCAAAGTCAATGGCTCGACCCTCAGCGTCAAAAGCGAGGACACTAGGGGTAGCCATGACGACGACAGTGTAGCAGTGCAAGCAGTAGGGGAAGGGCACACAGTAACAGTGGTGCTGTGCTCACCAGGCAGGGCAGGTCGGGCGGCTCGGCAGTAGGGCGGCCCGGCGGCTGGGCGGCTCGGCGGCTCGGCGGCTTGGCTGCTGGGCGGCTCGGCGGCTGGGCGGCTCGGCGGCAGGGCGGCCCGGCTCCCGGGCGGCTCGGCGGCAGGGCGGCTCGGCTGCTGGGCGGCTCGGCGGCAGAGCGGCTCGGCGGCAGGGCGGCTCGGCTCCCGGGCGGCTCGGCTGCTGGGTGATTCTGCTGGTAGGCGGCTCTGGTGCAGGGCGGCGCGGTGGCGTTGGTTCAGGGCGGCGCGGCGGTCGCAGATAGGGCGGCGGGTGAGCCGCAAGGAGGGCGGCGGGTGGGCCGCAGGTAGGTTGGCGGTAGGGCCGTAGGTAGGGCGGCGGAAGGGCCGCAGGTAGGGCGGCGGTGGGGCCGCAGGTAGGGCGGCGATGGGGCCGCAGGTAGGGCGGCGGTAGGGCCGCAGGTAGGGCGGCGGAAGGGCCGCAGATAGGGCGGCGGTAGGGCCGCAGGTAGGGCGGCGAGTAGGGTCGCAGGGCGGCGGGGCCGCTCGATGGAGCGGTGGGGCCGCGAGGAAGGGCGGCGGGGCCGCGCGACGGAGCAGCGGGGCCGCGAGGAAGAGCGGCGGGGCCGCTCGTTGGGGCAGCGGGGCCGCGAGGAAGGGCGGCGGGGCTGCGTGATAGGGCGGCGGGGCCGCTCGAGGAAGGGCGGCGGGGCCGCGCGATAGGGCGGCGGGGCCGCTTGAGGAAGGGCGGCGGGGCCGCTCGAGGAAGGGCGGCGGGCCGCTCGAGGAAGGACGGCGGGGCCGCGAGGCAGGGCGGCGCGACAGGCCGCTGCAAGGGCGGCGCGCCGCTGCCGCTAGGGCGGCTCGACGCGACCGTAAGGGCGGCGCGACAAGCCGCTAGGGGCGACACGGCGGGTCGCTAAAAAAAAGGAGAGCGCGACTCGAGGCGCGCTTCGGTGGGCCCAAGGAACAGTCCCTAGGAGGGGACCTGCTCTGATTCCATGTGAAAATGAGAACGAGAATGGATGCAGTATGAATGAACTGAGTACAAGTATTAACCCTAATTGGGTTGTACCCCTTATGGGCTACCCCACTATATCCTACAAAATATGCAAAAGCTATATGTTCTGACAAATTGGGTTGGCAAGTGTGGCCAACTTGGGTGAGGTGGATTGTGGAGGTTGGGAAAGTGACAAAAGTAATTGTGGGGTTGCTATAAGGTGGGGATTTGATTTGCTTATGGGGTTTCCCTTGTTGGGGACTCCTTGGGGACCTTCCCTCTCGTCCTCCTTATCCCTTCCACCTGGTTTGTTGCTACTCTAATCCTCTTTGTTAACTTGTGAGACTCTTGTGATTGAGTTAAATTCCTATGGCAGCATACCCGTTTGTGCGCTGAAATTGATAAGTCAAGAAATACTTCACCTTTTGATAAGATTCAAATTGGGAATTGTAGCTGCGCTCTAACGCTACAACATATCCAAAATTGGTGAAGTTTTATCTCTGTAATTTCCGTCGACGACGTTTCTTGTGAGCGCAACGATTCTGTGCAGAAATTGAGACCAACGATTTTGTGATATTTCGGCCTCTAAGCTTCCTAGACTCCGTCTTTAGTCTCTAACAAGTGGTATCAGAGACAGATCAAGGACTTTCTGGAGAGTCTAATGAAGTGTGAAGACCCTCCTAGACGCACCATGGCCTGTGGGCGTGCCTAAGTGGTGTTCTGGAGGTTGGATGTGACTTCCGCTATGGGGAAACTTTGCCGAAATTTTGTTGGCACCGACACTAGTGAAAATATTGTGGGACTTTGGTGTGGACAGAAAAGGGGGGAGCTGAAACCTATAATTGGGAGCAGAGGAGATGATTCAAGGGAGAGGAGAATCAGCTGAGAAGAGGAATGAGCCGCCACCATCCAAGATAGAACCTTTGGATGGCTCCAACTATGAGGAATGGAGTGGGCGGATGAGGAGTGCCTTCAAACAGTACAAGCTACTGGAGAAGGGTATGGGGGAAGAGAAGATGCTGGAGGAAGGAGACACCCGCGATCGGTGGATTGAGAAGAGCGCGGTGCTGTACGACCTAATCCTTCAATCCGTCAACAACGACATGTTCCAGCACATCAAGGATTTGGTGGAGCTCGATGATTCGGGACCGAAGGCGCGGAAGCTGCTGCGCGACGTGATACAGCCCAACATGCTGCCGATGGTGATTGTGTTGGAGAAGGAGCTGGCTGCCCTCTCCATGCGATTGGGTGATGATGTGAAGCTGGTCCTTGAGAAGATCAAGGACACCTATGCGAGGATGGCAGCAGCGGGCAGCAACATGTCGCACATGCAGCAGTGCACCAAGATCATCTCGGTGCTTGACAACACATGGGACAAACTCATCCCCACCCTCAACAATCACCAAGACCAGTGGACACCTGAGTAGCTACGGCAGCAGATTCTGCATGAGGATTTCCGCACGCACCACACGGGAAGCGGTGCTGACAACAAATCTGCTGAGGGGTATGCAGCTGCAGGAGGTAGCAGAGGAAGAGGGGGTGGGTGAAGCCGAGGCCGTGGGAGAGGCTTTGGCTGAAGGAGAGACCGAAGTGACTACAATGAGGGGCATGAGAGTTCTGCTGGCAGGGGGAGCACCCGAATGGAGAGTGCGTGCTGGTACTGCAAGAAGGCTGGACACCCATGGTTCAAGTGTTTCAGTCGGCGTGAAGGATGGGCGCCTCCGGGCATGAAGCCGCCAAGTGGTGAACGTGCACGAGGTGGCGCTGTGCAAGGTTCAGGTGCGCAAGGTGATGGTGCACAAGGTAAAGCTGACCCTGGGATGTTCTGCATGGTTGAGGATGTGAAAGGGATTGAGGGTGATGTGGGCTCGATTAGGAAAGTTGTGATGCACCCCCTCACTCACTCGATGATCGATTCAGGTTGCTAAAGTCACATGACCCCACGGGCAGATTTGCTTGACGAGGTAAAACCCACTAGGAAGATCAAGTTTGTGGCTACCGCTTCAGGTGCTTTGCTCCTTGTGATTGGTGTTGGGAATGCCAAGGTAAAGGGAGCCAAAGGGAAGCTTGTGGGGCTGGGGAATGTATTGCTGGTTGAAGGTTTGTCCGCTAACCTCCTCTCTGTGCGCTGGCTGCATGAAAGCAAGGCCAAAGTTACGTTCGGCCCAACCAGCTGCCGTGCAAAGCTTGGGAATGTGCTGCTGTGGGACTAGGAGGAGAAGAGCAGCTGCGTTAAGGACCTATGGCAGGTGCCCACCATTCACACACGTGCGGTGTGGGTCTACCCTCTCAAGACCAAGGGGGAGTTGGCAGCGGCTGTTCTTAAGGAACGGATGCCGATATCTCAAAGGGTGAGCGGACACAAGGTGAAGGTGATCCGCACTGACAACATGGGAGAATTCATTTGTGCTGATTTTGAGGCGGTGCTGAAGAAGAAGGGGATGAGCATCAGCTCACGGTGCCCTACAACCCTCAGCAGAACGGCGTGGCAGAGCGGTTCAACCGGACCCTGCAGGAAGGTGCTCGCACTCTCCTTGGGCGTGCAGGGCTGCCGGATCCGTTTTGGGTTACTGCACTTCGGCAGGTCACCCTTGTGAAGAACCGGGTGTTGGCGACTGTGGGAGACAAGCAGTGGGTCCCCTACACCAAGTGGTATGGGAGTGCACCAATAGTCAACATGCTGAGAGCCTATGGGTGCATGGTGGTTTTTCATGTGCCTAAGGAGAAGAGGGGAAAGCTGGAAGCTTCTGGGAGATGGGGTGTGCACTTAGGGCTTGTAAAGGACCACAAGGGCTGGCTGCTATGGGACTTGACCAGCCAGCAGCTGACTGTGTCAAGGGTCGTGAAGCTCCTCGAGTCCTTGTACTGCAAGGAGTGGAAGCAGTAGCAGCAGAAGCTTCCTACTACACCGCTGATCATTGAGGCTGATGAGGTGCAGCGGCCTTCGAGGCAAGTGCAGGTCACTGTCTTAAAGGAGATCTCTGGGGTGACTGAGGATGGGGGAGAACCTGAGGTGGAGGAGCAGCAGCAGCATCAGCAAGGTGCTCCACCACGTGACCAACGTCCGCCTGATCGTCCTAGGAGGGATGCGTGTCCTCCTAACAAGCTGGCCTATCCTAGTTTTGGCAAGCTAAGTGTGGTATCAGGTGGGAGTGTGATAGAGCAGATTGATGGGGATGTGATAGCCTACTGCTATGGGGCTACATTGAGAGGGTGTGGAGCTTAACACTATGAGACAGAGGCCGCAGAGGGGTGCTGCAGAGTTGGGCATAACGGAGATGTTTGATTGTTTGTTGGGATGAGTGATAGAAGAACATCGGAAGGGCATGAAGCTTGCTGGGATGAGTGTGCATTGAGGGTGTATGCTTGAGCTATGGCATGTGGGATGATGGCAGGCAGCCGGAGGGGAAGTTTGTTATGTGATGCTATCATTTGCATTCACGTCTGTCTGCCTCCCATCACATGTTCGTGCATTGCATGCATGGTGTGAGCGTGTGCAAGAATTTGTGTTCGGTATGGTTTGGATTTCCTGAGTGTGTGTGAATGCTATTTGGCTCAAGCAGATATCTGAGTAGATATCTGAAGTGACTCCTCTGCTCAAGAGCTTTCCAACAAACCAAGAATCGTTGGGATCGGAGCAAGAACAACGAAGTTATAATCGTTCGATATTTTGATTGGGATGCGACGACGTTGGGAAGTTGTGATGTGACTCAATATAGGGTACAGAGTTTTGGGGGTTGGGAAATTCGTCCCCATCACTGTAGATGCTGCCAAGTGGTTGGGAGACACCAAATTGGGTTGGCAAGTGTCGCCAACTTGGGTGAGGTGGATTGTGGAGGTTGGGAAAGTGACAAAAGTAATAGTGGGGTTGCTATGGTTGATTTGCTTATGGGGTTTCCCTGGTTGGGGACTCCTTGGGGACCTTCCCTCTCGTC